GTCTGTGTGTGTGCGTCTCTCTCTCTCTCATGCTGCGTTGCCAGGGTAACCGCCCCCACCCTCGCGGCTCTGCTTTCTCTCTGCTCTTCTGCTCTGTATTAAAGGAGATACCGTCTTTAGGAGTTTGGCTTTTCATAGTTGTTTTTCCGTTAAAATTGCGAAATTTGCCATTTGAACATTGTGTTATGACACAGTTAAACGTTTTTAAAACACCATTTAGTAAAAATAAGTTTTGAATTAGTATGTTTTTGAAACCCAAAGATTAGTGCTAAAGCTGTGCAATTCTTTTTAGACCTAACATATTTCTAGATTCCATTCTTTTAAATCTGCTGCTTATTTCTTAACTGTTTGTGAGTTGTGTTTGTTTTTATGTTTTTATTTTAGTTACAAAAGCCGTTTTTCAAACATTTAAATTGGAATCTGTGTTAAAAGTTATTATTGATTATAGACTTCGTCTAAAAAGAAAGAGGGAATTAGGATTAGCTGTAAAAGTATTATATTGAGTTAAACTCTACCCAATTCACATTCAAGTGGTGACTTTTGTTTACACAGCAGAGGAGACTGGCTCTGAAATGTGCTCCTAATTCATATTGACTTCATTTGAAAAATGCTGCAATTATTTTAAATTAGTAGAATATATGCTGAGATAAATGTTCAAGTGTAAAAGGGAAAGTCCATAAAGTGAAACCCAAGAACGCATAGATAATTAAAAACACACAGTACAAAAGTACATAATACATATTTTAAAGTTTAAAAAGTTTTTTTTTTAGATTTGAGTCTTGTTTTTTATATTAAGAGTTCCTGGTCTTAAAAATGTTATCAGTAGTAAGATAATAAGTAATCTATATTTACATAGCTTTTGGAAACCCAGAGCGCTCCAAAATGGTTTAGACTTTAGGGAGAAAAACAATCTCATTCGCATACTGATATCTATTGTTTTTTTTTTTAAATTGGCCGTCTCAAGGATTGTTTTTCAGACTCTGCCACACTGTACAGGGTCACTGCTGGAGTGGGCACTGAGGGATCAGAACAGTGGCCCAGAGTAGACTCCATCCAACCAGCCGCAGATCGTAAAGGCGACATAGCTACCTCCGTGTGCCCCTCCCCCACTACAGACCGATGGTCGTAGGTGGCAGTGAGACCGGGGCCACAAAGTGAGGTTTTCTGTAGGCAGTGGTGGGTGAGTTGTTTTGCAATCTGGAAGTGTGTCCAGTTGGTTTACATCACCACAGTGTGACCTTTGAGACCTACAGGTGGTCCGAGGAGTCTGGAGACAAAATTCATACACACATACATCTACACACACACACATTCACATTTACATATAGATACATGAAAAAGCAGAACATGAGAAAAAAGCATTTTTAAAAGTTTACTCCAATGTAAACACATATTTTTAATTGTCTATCACTTGAATCAGTATTTTTTGAGACCAGAAATGTTCATTTGAATTCTATATTGTCATGGACTTAATTGACGTCTGTCCTGACACTTTTGATTTGTTGATTTTGTACTGTGTGAAGTAATTACATTGATTAGGATTAGATCTGATAAAAACACAAATTAGAGAAGTAAACTGAATCATTGCGCTTGCTTTTGTCTGAGGGACAGAAGCAACAGCATGAATAGAAATTGTGTTACAGTAGAATCAAAGTGACTTAACCATAGAGAGTAACTATTGCATAACAAGCTGTGTACAGGAACTGTGACACTGCACCATTGACCTGAAGTGCATCGCAAATGACCTGATGTGCTTCAAGTGAAAAGACTGTATCTGGAGATCCGATGTCCAACTGGAGAGGAAAAACCATGGCTTGGACCCTACTGATGTCCAAGATGACATCTCTCGAAATATGACCTGACCTGATGACGACTGAGACTCACCCTCAGGGGACCCTGAGGACCTGAGGATCTGAGAGAGAAAAACCTGGGGAGTGATGTTTATATTTTTAAAATCATGCCATTGATGAGTGCTAAATGAGAGAGATACTCATGATTCTTTCTTTTGTTTTTGTTTGTCCCTAGCTTCTGGACATCTGATGATCTATTGGACACAGCCATTTGCAGAACAAGAACCAGCCAATGAAAAACGTCTATTGCCGATGCTCTTGCTACAACCAGAACCACAACTGTGACAAATGCAATGAATGTAAAGTATTCAGACATCAGACAGACAAAACTTTGATTTTTTAGTCTGGGAGACTGAGCAACAGTTAAAATGTTTTAAAATGATAAAGTATGATTATTGTAGTGTTTTAATAGTAGTAAAAAAGTAGAATTGTCCTTCCTTTGTTGTTCATAAACACATTTCCACATAAGAGTTAAAATAGTATCATACAATGTTATCTCTGATAGAGCAGCTAAAATATTAGAATCAGAATAATGTTAGAGATATTAAAAGTGACAGAAGTCACAAATTAGGAATATGCCTTTGCTCAAGCTGCAACCGAGCTTTAGAGTCACAATAGAGTAAAAATAGGAATAGATAAATGCATCAACCATAGATGCTTTCAAAAATAGAGATTATTTGTAGCCAGTGTTAATATCAAATGGTAAAGGGACCATTCCACAAACCTTTGCTTCAAAAGTAGATAAAGTTACTTACAGTTTTATGTACAGTTTTATTAGATACTTGCCAAATTCACTTGTGTTCAAACATCTGTGAATGTTGACAATACAAAAAGTCCATATGAGTGTAGTCTAGATTAATGCCTAGATCAATGAGATAGATTAGAACCAACAGAGATTCAAAAGCATTTAAAAGCATTTTGATGCATTTGGGTATAGCACAAAAACAAAAAGTAGACATTTAGATATTGAGAAGTTTCCAGCACAGATTAGAGAATCAAACACCATTGTAGAATAATAACCAACCCCAAACCTGCTAAAATAGATTAGCTCTTGTAAGGATAATAATAAATTGATTAATGATTTACATTCATCCCAAACTGCCTGATAGGAGGAAGTGACAGCACTTCCTGGTTCAACAAATGTATTTGGAAAACTGACTGCCATAATAATGTGCCACTGATAAGGAAAGTAAACCACAGAATAGAGAGATTTGTTGGATTGAAATGTATGTTTGAGAATGTGGCTCAATGGAAGCAAATATGCAAACATATTTGTAGGTGGATTGGAATAGTTTTAAACTATAGTGAATAGTAAAAGTAAAGTACACAGTGTAAGATTGAATAGTGAAAATAATACAGTGAAATAAGTGAAGTGTAAATAATTAGCATTAGAATAAAAGTATAGAGTAAGAAAAGTGAAATTAGCTTCAAATTTGAGACTCAGCTCGTTTTTGTCTGTGTTTTGACTGAATCTGCTGAGTTCTTGTGTGTCCAATAGAGTTTGTTTTTGTTTGTTTTTATTTTTTGATTTGTTTTGATTTGTGATCACATGTGGATGTGATCAAGAGAGGGACTGTGAATATTTAATTATTCTTTGCTTGCTGAAATGTCATGTTAAACAGTTCAATAAGAGTTCACCTGTACTTTGAACTGCTTACAGAAGCATGGAGCAGATAAGGTGTTGATGTACATAACATGAGATAATGCTATCTCATGTACATTGGAGTTTGGTCCGTTACGCAACTTTGAAACCATACGCTTGCTTCTCACATAGTCATGCTTCCCAGAATCTATGCTTACATAATCATTTTAAATGTATATAAGGAGTTAGCCTTTGTCAGTACTTTAGACTTCTGCAGACAAGACTCCTGACGAGAAGCTGCGTTATGCTTGTTCAGACTACGCTCAAACCTTCTGATTAATAAAAACTCTATTTTGTACGCAGTTTTGTCGAAGTCTCTATTTGTCTTACGTCTGGGATTTTTCACAGTTATCACGGACTTTGTCGACTGGTGTGAGCGCAACCACTTGTGCTTGAACACCAGTAAGACCAAGGAGATGGTAATCGACTTCAGGAGAAAACCACTTTCCCACACGCTGCTGAACATACAGGGGGAGGACATTGAGCTGGTGGACAGCTTCAAGTACCTGGGTGTTCACATTAACAATAACTGGACTGGTCCCATACCACCAACGCTCTGCACAAGAAGGGCCAAAGTCGCCTCTTCCTTCTGAGGAGGCTGAGGTCCTTCGGAGTGAGCAGGCCTCTGCTCAGGACTTTTTATGACTCTGTGGTAGCCTGTGCCATATACTACGCTGCCGTGTGCCCAGGGCAGCACAGAGCGGGACATGAGTAAACTCAACAAGCTGGTCAGGAGGGCCAGCTCCACTCTGGGCTGCCCCCTGGACTCTGTGGAGGAGGTGAGGGACAGGAGGGTGCTAGCCAAAGTCACCTCCATCATGGACAACACCTCCCACCCACTGCACAGGACTGTAGAGGAGCTGAGGAGCTCCTTCAGTGGAAGACTGAGACACCCTCACTGCAAGAAGGAGCGCTACCGCAGGGCCTTTATCCCCATCGCTGTCAGACTGTACAATAAGTCACTTGCATTAGGACTGAAAAACCTGCACTACTATTGACACCGTTTCTTGATTGCCACTTTTTATTGTACATAATATATCCTGCATTTAACATGTTTGTACTTTTCTATCTTTTGCACAATATTGAGTGATTCTATCCATGCCAGATGTGACATGTAAATTTCTCCTGTGTGAGATCAATAAAGTCTATCTTATCTTATCTTATTTGGTGCAACGCATCATGGGAGCTCGTCCACTGTGCATTACCGGGAGGACCAGACGATGACCAAATATAGGCGAGTTCAGCTAATCTCTCGGCCCCCATGTATGTCCCATGCGCTACAAGCCATTCATTTGAATAGGGCGCCATGTTGGATCACCAGGGCTCTATCCATGCTAAAGGCCAGAGAGACCGAGGCTGAAGTGTGGATTTACAATTTTCTTTTTTAGTTGTTCATTCATCATGGTTCTGAAGCCCCAGCTCTGTCTGTGAAGTCAGTGTAACAAGTTTGAAACCCAAGTGTTTTGGCAGAAGTGGCTGGGTTTGTAATGCTCCTGTGTTTCTTGCAGACGCCAGAAGAAGGTGCTGTCTCCACGCTGTACTGCGCCTTTTCCGAGGAAATGGATGGAGTCAGTGGGAAGTACATCAACAGTGACTGCAACCTGGTTCTGCCTTCAGCCACGGCTCGGGACGCTCAGACTGGAAAGGAGGGCTATGAGGTCTGCCTCAGGCTGACCTCTAATCTGTGAAGCACCAGGGAGACCAGAGGGACCAGAGAGACCAGAAAGAATCCAGAGAGGGACCAGAGACCAGAGAAAGAGACGAGGTTCAGACCTTTATTCAGTCCTGGTTTAGTTCTTGGTGTTGTTCTCCCTCTGGTGAGTGAAAGAACTGCGTTTTAAACGCTCTTTAATCTAATTTGTGTTTTGTTTTTATATACATGGTTTTTATTTTGAACCAATAAAATGTGTCATGTGTTTGATTCAAAGGTTTAAGACGAAAACAAACAATTTATTGACAATTAAAAGGATTATTAAAACATTCTGTAATCCCAGTTACCCTGTAATCTCAGTTTGTGTCTGTGTTTGCATGTTCTCCCTGTGTCTGTTTTATAGAGACTTAAAACACCTTTTTATATTGAATACATTTTTATTAAATAAATAAAGCAAGTTGTTGTTATTTGGCTGGAAACACAAATAAAGATGGCATCATCATATTTGAATAATAATAACATGTATTAATAATAATAATAATTCTTTCAGTACAAACCTGTTATTGTTTATGAACAAACTCTTCTAAAACTGGAACCGAGTGATCGAGCTGCAGCGGAGCCACACGCACCACAATCTGCACCTCCTCCTGAGAAAGACACTGAGTGAGAGGAGCATCCTGCTGTGGACCCAGGAAATCGAACACTGTGTGAGGGGGGGTGCGATATAGAACCACATGTGCCCACTGTCACTTTACTTTTTCACTTTGTCCCATACCCTCATGCTTCTAATATGTACAGATAGATATACATGCATACTACATATTCTGGAATATGCAGTATTTATACTAGCCTCTTTATTTTAAATTTGCTTCTTTAACATGCTAAAGTCAGATTTTATGCTTGCAAATCTATTGTGCTAAAGTTTGACATTTTAGACTTGCTTCTTTATTATGCTAAAGTTAGAGATTTTATTTTGTTTTAGTATAGAGTTATGGTTCACTTATCTTGTGCTGTGTACTCCCCATTCCTACTGTTCTGTAACTGGCTTGTATTGCCACTGACATTTTCCCACTGTGGGACGAAGAAAGAATATCTCAATCCTGCTATGTGAGGGGGAGTATCCTGCTGTGGGGGTGCTTTTGTAACCCCCTATGCCTGTGGTTGAACTCACCGCTGCTTCGGGCTCTGGAGGCTGCAGACTCACATCCTGGAACTGCTCATCTTCAGAACGTGGTTCCATGTCCTTCTTCCCCTCTCGCTCCTGAAAAGGGTGAAATTGAGGCTCATGCCATTCACAGGTGTGAGGGGAAACTACACCCCCCAGTGAGGAGCGACCAGGAGAAAACAGAGCTTTACCTTCATGAGCATCATCTCTTTGGGGCTGAAGAACGTGATGTGTCCTTCAGAAGAATCAACGAGCAGAAACATGAGGAGCGAACACATCAGGGCTCTGAGGACCATCATGTCTGTAAGAGAAGATTATAGTCATATATAAATATTTGCAAGATCAGACATTGTACGCAGGCCACAGTTGTAATAGCAGTAGTGTAGTAGTGGTAGTAGCAGTAGCAGCAGAAGTTGTAGTGATAATTACATAATAATGCATGAGTTTTATACAACTCTTTTCTGGACGCTCTTCACAGCATTATTCCATCACTCTAAACTACTACTGTAGCCACAGCTGCCCTGGGGCTCTCTGACAGAAGAGAGGTAACACACACACACACCAGACTCATTCTAATGTGGCTGCAGTATCTAGCCTGTCGGCTGTAAAGTGCCAGTCCCTTTAGTACCAGTCGTAGTAGCAGCATTAGTAGTAGTAGTGGTTGCAGCAGAGGCAGTAGTAGTAGTAGTAGTAGTAGTAGTAGTAGTAGTAGTAGTAGTAGTAGTAGTAGTAGTAGTGGTAGTGGTGGTGGTGGTGGTGGTGGTGGTGGTGGTAGTAGTAGTAGTAATAGCAGATGTAGTAGTAGTACTAGCAGCAGCAGTATAGTAATAGCAGATGTAGTAGCAGTAGTAGTAGTGGTAGCAGATACTCACTTTGAATCAGTTGCTGGGGAAGTGTTTTGGATGAGACTGAAGCGTGAATTATATACATGAACACCCCCCCCCCACACACACACACCTTCTGCCACTTCCTCAAAGACTTGTCTCTGGATTCTTTTTGCTCCTGGAAACACAACATTGCAGAGTCCAGAGTCTATGGTCTGAGCGGTGACTGCAGGGTCTCTGTGGTCTGAGCGGAGACTGTAGGGCCTCTGTGGTCTGAGCGGAGACTGCAGGGCCTCTATGGTCTGAGCAGAGCCTCCAGGGACTTAGGGAGCGAGTCCCACAGTTGACCTGATGACATCATACAGAGAAGACAGAACTTCTGTGGAAGCACAAGAACCTACCCTAGAGCCTTACATAACCCTAGAGCGCCTCCTGATGGGCGACCTGGCTCCCATCGCTGGGTGGAGAGCCCTCCAAAACCATAGAGCCCCACATAACCCTTGAGCCCTACATGACCCAAGAGCTCGGCATAACTATAACCCTAGAGCCCTACATAACCCTAAAGCCCCACAAAACCCTATGTCAATGTCAACTTTATTTGTATTTCCAACAACACCTGCCCAAAGTGCGTCACAGGCACGAAAGATAAAAATAAAAGAAAACAGCAAAAATAAGAGACTGGGGCACGTTTCTGACCTCACTGATCTGACAGGATCATACGGAGATAACAGCTCCGACAGATATACAGGGGCCAAACCGTCTAAACATTTAAAAACAAGCATCAGAATCTTAAAATCAACCCTGAAAGTAACAGGGAGCCAGTGAAGTGAGGCCAGCACGGGGGTGATGTGCTCTCTCTTACGTGTACCGTGAGCAAGCGAGCAGCAGCATTCTGCACCTGCTGAAGGCGCTTTAATGAGCCGAGGTCCAGACCACAGTACAACCAGTTGCAATAATCTAACCTAGATGAAATAAAAAGGTGGATAACTCGCTCAAAGTCAGTGGGCGGGATGTAAGCCTTCAATTTGCTCAAGACCCGGAGCTGATAGAAGCTGGCTTTGATTACTGAATTAATTTTCTTGTCCCTCCTGAAGGTGCTTTCAAAAATAACTCCTAAGTTTCTAACAGAGGAATGGAGAGCAGAGAGCGCACCAAGTGCATGAGTGAAGTCCACAGGGAGGCTGGAGCTAAAAACAACTATTTCAGTCTGAAATTCTCTGTAGATCCGGCAAATTTTACTATAAATTGTAAAAAGCACATTTTAGAGAGTCAATAGTGTCAACATCAATGAACATTAATAGCATTATAAATTGCATTTCTATATATTAGCCTGTGCAATTTTAGGAAAACATTGAATGTATATATGATTGTATTTTGCTTTTATATTTGTGATTTGTGTGTATCTATCTGTGTTCACCTGTCACATCTTCTTCAGTAGCTGCAGCTGAATCTGGTGCAAACCATTTCTTCTTTTGTAAAGACTAATGATTTTTGTACATTGTCCCCGTTTTATAAACAATAAACTAAACTAAACTACATAACCCTAGAGCCCTGTATAACCCTAGAGCCCTACATAATTCAAGAGCCCTACATGACCCTAGAGCCCTACCTAAGCTAATGCCGTTTTTCCATAGTCACTGTACGGCGCGGCATGGCCGTGTGCGGGTGCTTTTCCATTAAAAATAGTACTTCTTCAGCATGGGAGGGATTGTCAGACCCAACATTTACTTGCGACGTGTAACCAGTAACATTGGTGCGGTGCATGTATCTATTATAAAATCGGTGATAGCTGGTTATTACCTCCTCTGCTTACCCCCTACAGAACTGGCCCCTAAAACCTTTTCAGGACACCGGGCAAGTGACAGACGAACAGCAAGTATTTAATAGAATATTCAGCACAGTGCGAGTGGTTGTTGAAAATGCTTTCGGCAGTATAAAAGAATGACTCGGACACTGAACATGTGAAGTCAATGGGGCTGACCTGCAGTGCTCTGCCCAATCTGTGTGAAAACCATGGAGAGACCTGTGGCAGAATGGGACACACATGTAGAAACAGCAGCCTGTGTAGCAGTGGTGCAGAGGAGGGTCTGATGCATAACTTTGTCATATGCCTAAACATTTATTTTGCCCTAGTTTTGACCAAAAATAAAACCTTTTTGAATTTAGCAAATGTCTCCATCTTTGTTCATAAATTTACCAAGATTATACGGATTTACTGACAATTATAATGTATGAAATGTAAGTGGTATATGGTAGGAAATTGTAACTTTTGCAGTTGAACCCCTTTTCTGCACGTGCACAGACAAATGAATGAAACAAAATACAAGATACAATCATAGATTTATTAAAAACAAAAGTAAAGTGCAAAACCAACAATTTACAAAGTCACTTGAAACCAGGCGAGGGGACGAGTGCTCATTCATTGCTTGTTTATAATCTCATCACTTGTGGGAAGGGATTCTCAAACAAATAAATATACACACAACAACTTAAGTACAAGCACAAAACAGAATGGCAACACGTGAAAAAGCAAAATACAGCACAGTAGAACAGGAAGGACGTTTTAGCTTAGCTTGCTATCGATAGCTACATGTAGCTAACCCACTGTGTACAACAGACAATCAAACTTTTACACGAGTAAATACACTTCAGTGAGAGCTTTGGGGCAACGGGATACGTAGCTAACCAGTTATTTCCTGGATTACCACAGACTAGTCACAAATCAAGAGCGATCTCCCTGTAACCCTTCTTGTTCTGTGTGCCGTGTTCCGTCAAGCTACCTTTGAATTCTTTCTTCGGCCTGAAGAGAGTAACGTGTGGAACTCGTCCACCGACCAGGGCCTTTTGGGGCTTTCTGTGCGATTCCATTTCTCTGGAGTGAGGACGATGTTATTATAATAGATCCAAGGGAGGACATATTATAGCAGAGCAGCCGGTTTTAAAGATGGCGGGTTGAGTTGTTTTTACCAAAGGGTCGGACGTCGCCTCCACTGATGACACTCGTTGACCAATCAGTGTAAGGCAGTCGGCTGACGTCATGTTATGGTGTAGCTTCAGCCCGGATAGAGCCACTGTCGAGGTGGTAGAAAAAAAGTACCCTTATCCCAAGCCCAACCCTAGTGGAAATGCAAAATAACCGCGCCGTACTGTACCGTATCTTTACTGTGGAAAAGCGGAAACACTGTAGATACCTACATAACCCTAGAGCCCTACATAACCCTAAACCCTCTGGCCTTGAGTAACAGCCTGGGTGTGGCCTGTGTGAGGCTAGAGGTCAGCTCTGCATTAATGCATTTCCATCTCATGTGTTTGCACATTCTTATGCTGCTCGGACACACTGTCACTTGGCGATAAAGTACTTGAGTACTGAGTACACAGAGTACTCATAGTACTCCAGAGGAGAGCGCTGCAAACACCGCTCTGACGTCTCACTTGTTCCTTTTCCATCTATTTGTGTCACTGTGGAGACCACTGCAACAACAGATCTGTGTCACCATGGAAAGCACCACAACAACACATCCTGATAATAATGCATTATTTATATATTTATATATATATATATATATATATATATATATATATATATATATATATATATATATATATATATATATATATATATATATATATATATATATATATATATATTATATATATATATATATATATATATATATATATATATATATTACTAACGTATAATACATATAATAATAATACATATTAATAATAACAATAACACTACAGTGACATTAGCTTGAGCTGTCGTGAGGAGTTTTCTGAAGGCGTTGAGTGAGTCCGAGCCCTCTCTGAGGGAGAGAGCAGGTGATTCTGTCTGAGAGTGAGGAGGTGATTCTATCTGAGAGTGAGGAGGTGATTCTATCTGAGAGTGAGGAGGTGATTCTGTCTGAGAGTGAGGAGGTGATTCTATCTGAGAGTGAGGAGGTGATTCTATCTGAGAGTGAGGAGGTGATTCTGTCTGAGAGTGAGGAGGTGATTCTATCTGAGAGTGAGGAGGTGATTCTATCTGAGAGTGAGGAGGTGATTCTATCTGAGAGTGAGGAGGTGATTCTGTCTGAGAGTGAGGAGGTGATTCTATCTGAGAGTGAGGAGGTGATTCTGTCTGAGAGTGAGGAGGTGATTCTATCTGAGAGTGAGGAGGTGATTCTGTCTGGGAGTGAGCAGGTGATTCTGTCTGAGAGTGAGGAGGTGATTCTATCTGAGAGTGAGGAGGTGATTCTATCTGAGAGTGAGGAGGTGATTCTGTCTGAGAGTGAGGAGGTGATTCTGTCTGAGAGTGAGGAGGTGATTCTGTCTGTGAGTGTGAGGAGGTGATTCTGTCTGAGAGTGAGGAGGTGATTCTGTCTGAGAGTGAGGAGGTGATTCTGTCTGAGAGTGAGGAGGTGATTCTGTCTGAGAGTGAGGAGGTGATTCTGTCTGGAGTGAGCAGGTGATTCTGTCTGAGAGTGAGGAGGTGATTCTGTCTGAGAGTGAGGAGGTGATTCTGTCTGGAGTGAGGAGGTTATTCTGTCTGGAGTGAGGAGGTTATTCTGTCTGAGAGTGAGGAGGTGATTCTGTCTGAGAGTGAGGAGGTGATTCTGTCTGAGAGTGAGGAGGTGATTCTGTCTGAGAGTGAGGAGGTGATTCTGTCTGAGAGTGAGGAGGTGATTCTGTCTGAGAGTGAGGAGGTGATTCTATCTGAGAGTGAGGAGGTGATTCTGTCTGTGAGTGAGGAGGTATTCTGTCTGTGAGTGAGGAGGTGATTCTATCTGAGAGTGAGGAGGTGATTCTGTCTGAGAGTGAGGAGGTGATTCTGTCTGAGAGTGAGGAGGTGATTCTGTCTGTGAGTGAGGAGGTGATTCTGTCTGAGAGTGAGGAGGTGATTCTGTCTGAGAGTGAGGAGGTGATTCTGTCTGTGAGTGAGGAGGTATTCTGTCTGTGAGTGAGGAGGTTATTCTGTCTGTGAGTGAGGAGGTGATTCTGTCTGAGAGTGAGGAGGTGATTCTGTCTGAGAGTGAGGAGGTGATTCTGTCTGAGAGTGAGGAGGTGATTCTGTCTGAGAGTGAGGAGGTGATTCTGTCTGTGAGTGAGGAGGTTATTCTGTCTGTGAGTGAGGAGGTGATTCTGTCTGAGAGTGAGGAGGTGATTCTGTCTGAGAGTGAGGAGGTGATTCTGTCTGTGAGTGAGGAGGTTATTCTGTCTGAGAGTGAGGAGGTGATTCTGTCTGAGAGTGAGGAGGTGATTCTGTCTGAGAGTGAGGAGGTGATTCTATCTGAGAGTGAGGAGGTTATTCTGTCTGAGAGTGAGGAGGTGATTCTGTCTGAGAGTGAGGAGGTGATTCTGTCTGTGAGTGAGGAGGTTATTCTGTCTGTGAGTGAGGAGGTGATTCTATCTGAGAGTGAGGAGGTGATTCTGTCTGAGAGTGAGGAGGTTATTCTGTCTGTGAGTGAGGAGGTTATTCTGTCTGTGAGTGAGGAGGTGATTCTGTCTGAGAGTGAGGAGGTGATTCTGTCTGAGAGTGAGGAGGTGATTCTGTCTGAGAGTGAGGAGGTGATTCTGTCTGAGAGTGAGGAGGTGATTCTGTCTGTGAGTGAGGAGGTTATTCTGTCTGAGAGTGAGGAGGTGATTCTGTCTGTGAGTGAGGAGGTTATTCTGTCTGTGAGTGAGGAGGTTATTCTGTCTGTGAGTGAGGAGGTGATTCTGTCTGAGAGTGAGGAGGTGATTCTGTCTGAGAGTGAGGAGGTGATTCTGTCTGAGAGTGAGGAGGTGATTCTGTCTGAGAGTGAGGAGGTTATTCTGTCTGTGAGTGAGGAGGTTATTCTGTCTGAGAGTGAGGAGGTGATTCTGTCTGGGAGTGAGCAGGTAATTCTGTCTGAGAGTGAGGAGGTGCTGGGAGTGAGGAGGTGCTGGGGTCTGGGAGTGAGGAAGTGCCTTGGATATAATCCTAACCCATAGAAACCAGATACTCCGATTGTCTGTGAACCACTGAGCTCTAACTGTGTATAAAGCGCTTTGTGACACTGTCTGTGAAAGGCGCTATATACATAAAAATGACTTACTGTGTGTTAAGGTTAGGTTTGTTATTGTTTGATGAACATTAAAATACAAACGTATCAAAAAAATATGTCCATCCTTTATTACAATATTTTACCTTTACAAAAGTGGACTTACAAGTATTGTATCGTTATAACTTACTTATGTCCGTAAGACTAGTTGAGGACCAACTTCACCCGACAAATAGTGACTCACAGGGATCTTTCTGACACAAAATGTAAAGTGTTTTCTTATGAGATGTAGACAGCATGTTGTGTCTCATTTGTTTACATAATTCTACTTTAAAACACTTTCTGTTCAAATTACATGTGTTATTCATGAGACCAAAGTTACGGACCGCAGCTTTAAATAAACAAAAAGCGTGGAACTCACCGTCAACAGATGTGTCCCGTGGTTGTGCTCTCGCGAGAGATGACAGCTCCTCGCGGGGTTTCCTCTGCTCAAACACGTGTCTCTCTTTTCCTTTCCGCATTTCAGCAGCAGACACCAGGGAGCACAGAGCTCTGCAACCAGCCTACAACATGGTGAGAAAACCCGGGTTTTACGGGCAATACCTGTGCCTTAGAAGTGTTAGCATGGGTTGGAGGGCAGAGGAACAGCACACAACATTCGAGCGGTTCGCTCGGGGCAGAGGGACTGGAGTTGGGCCCTTCAGGGTTTGTTAGCACGGGGTCCTGAGCAGAGGGACGGGACACTGGTCTGAACATCCTCCTTTATCTGCAGAACACGTTAGGGAACGCAGACTGACTTTAGGCAAATGAGTTATATAATCTCCTGTTTATCTGGAGCTTTCGCAGGGGGCCAAATGCCAAGAATTTGGACACTTGTTCTGGGCTTAGATTGAAGCTCCTTCTACACGCGGTTGATGCTAATGTTCCTAACGCGGCTTTAAATCACCCTTACAATTCTTACACCTACAAATAGAGCATTTTCCCAAAACACAAGTTTTTCTCTTATTACTGGAAAAAGTGTCTGGCCTGTAGCTAGGTTAAATTGTGTTTTCGTAGTTTACTTTGAAGAAACTACGACTAATCACGTTATTCGCTAATCCTACATCAGTACACCAAGGGAATAAGCACTCAATGTAGAACACATGGTCCACCCATGATCAGTATGAGCGTATTATGAACTTATTTTGGACTCTCTTTGTTGTTCGTTAGCTTCATGCTAACATGGGCCCGTGAGACACGTGGGTGTCCTGCAGCGGGTTCAGTGGACAAATATTACTGATCCAGAGCGAGAAGGCGGTGTTTACCGTCAATTTACATTTTAACTACGAATGCTTTAAGGTTGTGGTACCGATATTTCATGTCAAACTTGGTGTAAAGTTTTAAATTTAGCAAAGGGCTTTCATTTATGTTCAGGTATTTAAGATTGCCTGGTTGGTTTGGTTAATTGCAAACATTAGGCCCTTTGTGTAAGGGTTAGCTCAAAATTGCCGCAATTCAAAATTGTGACACTCCTAGGGAATGTTTTGTGCAAAAAGTACAAATGGTGATCTTCCAGCATATAACTTGGATTAAGAGTAAGAAAAACATAAGCCTCAGATCTAATTTACCCAAGTAAATTCTGAGAATCTCAACACCATTTTATTACATTTAACCTTTTTGTCTCAGGTGCTGCTGCATGTGCTATTCGAACATGCCTCTGGATATGCTCTATTCGCAGTCAAAGAAGTGGAGGAGATTGGGATGTTGCTGCCACAGGTGAGTGTAGCAGTTGTCTCTAAGAGCGTAGCTGTAATGATGTACATATAATCTGTCAATCCACTGAGATGAGTGAAGACACCCTTATGTTCTGAACAGTGCTCAGCATACAGTCCTCTGGTGGTCGAAGTGGGAACAGGACAAGTGTTCATGTTTCCCTGGTTATTCACAAGACTCTTTAATACAGTTTGCTGCATGTCAACTATATTTCTCTCCCCAGGTGGAAGAGTGTGTCCTCAGTCTCTCAAAGTTTAACTCAATGGTGAGTTTGGCCGCATTCTTCCCCTTCAAGTCTGCACAGGGAGCTCTGGAGAACATGAACGCAATCTCTGAAGGTAACTCTCCCCATAGGATTTAAAGGTGGTGCCTCATGACACCCTGAACCGCTGTGAGCTGACCAGTAGGGGGCGCAGTTGTAATGATGTGTATATAATCTGTCAATCCACTGAGACGAGTGAAGACTCACTTATGTTCTGAACAGCTGCCTGCCCCAGAGTACAACTGAGAACAACTTCTGTGAGACACCTGAACAGGCATTAAACTAGACCTTAGCTTTAAACCCCTTGTTGACATACAATGAAGCTTTGACTCCAACTGTTCTAAACTATTGCAGGGTTGGTTCACGCAGACCTGAAGCTCTTCCTCGACACAAACGTCCCTCGCCCTGGGAAAAAAAAGCCGGTTGTGGGTGTATCTGATGCAAAGATTGGCGCAGCCTTACAGGAAGAGTTCGGCATGTCCATCCAGACCGGAGGAGTGGTGGTGGAGATACTGAGGGGTGAGCTGAGACCAGGACTGGGACCCTCTCACTTTTGTTGTCAAGGGCTGGGTGATGTGTTTGGAACTTGTGCTGATGAAAAGCTTTTTCCTGAATCTGCTGATGGTTCATACTGAAAACCTGAACAGCTCCACTCACATGTGACTAAACCAGGGGTGTCCAACCGTTTTAGTTCCAACCTGAGCAGGAGTAACACTAGACTCCACCCAGTTCCCCAGATGAGTCCTGTTTTTAACCTGAGGAAATGGGTGGAGCCTGCTGTGCTGCTCAGGTTGGAACTAGAACCTGCAGCCGCATGGCCCTTTGAGGACGGCTGAATATCCCTACTATAGACTGCATTCAATGCTATCCCATATTCAATAATTTCCCTGTGCTAAAATGATTTCACTTCTCCTCTTCAGGTATCCGGCTGCACTTTCATGCTCTGGTCAAAGGCCTCACCGCGGTTGCTGCGTCCAAGGCTCAGCTCGGACTGGGACACAGTTACTCTAGAGCTAAAGTAAAGTTCAATGTAAATAGAGCAGACAACATGATCATCCAGTCCATCGCTCTCCTGGACCAACTTGATAAGGACATCAACACCTTCAGTATGAGAGTTCGGTGAGTCAAGTGCCAGAGATTGGGTCGACTTTAGTGAACAGTCTCCTGCCCCTTTCTTGCCCACCCTGGACTGCAGTGTCCTGGGTGCTTAACACAGGGGGGCATATTAATTCTCTCATAAACCTGAGATGAGGCTCTCACTCCTCACCGCGGAGCCTGTCGGGAGGAACAGTTCAGAAGATGCGTTCATGTGTTCATGCCTGACTGAGTCTCTCCTAGACATGTTAGTTTCTAAGCTTGGCCCTTGTTTTATTTTCCAGAGAATGGTACGGCTACCACTTCCCAGAGCTGGTAAAGATTGTAGCTGATAACTCTACATACTGCCGTCTGGCACAGCTCATTGGGAACCGGAAGGAGCTGAGTGAGGAGAGTCTCCCGTCTCTAGAGGAGGTGGTGATGGACGGCGCTAAAGCACAGGCCATCCTGGATGCGTCACGCCAGTCTATGGGTTAGTGGGTTATTTCACCTGCTTTAATACACTGCCTAGAAGCCTTAAAACACAAATGCTCTCCTTCAAAGCACCAATTGCAGTGCTCAATCTCCTTGTCCAATGATGTCTGCAATGTTAGATCCAGGCCAAGACCCTTATTTTGAACTGAACAAATTGTCTATCTCTCGAACTGTGGCATTAACACGTCTCATCACCAGAATGATTGACATTAGGGGGACCGATGGTCTTGATAAGGGGTGTCATACTCATGTTGGTCTGGGGGCCAAATACCACCTAATTAGATCTCAACTGGACCGGACCAGAAAATTTGTACTTTTTTGGGGCATTTTGTGACAAAGTCCAACTTTTTGTGCAGAAATTTTAAACTGCATTTAAAACACAATTACTCGCTCAGTTTTAACTGTAAATCTCAGGCAAACTTAAATGTAACATCGAGTTTTTCATAGTGCATATGTATTTACAATATTGCAATATGGTATTTCACTATTTATATTCATATTTGTTTGTTAGAAAGTTCTCTGTAATGAGCCATAAAACAAAGCTAGGTAGATGGGAAAAAAGCATTTAAACACAGCTCATGTTAAAGCTGCATTACCCCACTGTATTTTTGTATTACAAATATTCAATCCATATCCATGCAGTGCATTGGGATATACGTTCTTTTGAAGAAAAAGTAGCGCACATTTGTGCTGTCGTGTCATTTTATTTTCAATCAAGTTTTTGTGCAAAAAGGAAGAGAATTTGTTTCGGGGCCAGATTGTGACCAATCACAGCGGACCACTGGCCCCCAATTTCTTGAAGCTACATGTCTCTCGTTAGCACCAGCAACTGAGGTAAACAAGCGGCGGAGGGTAACCTGAAACTTCCTGTGTCTTTGTTACCTGTTACTGCACAGCGAAATGGCAATCCAAGAGTGATTCCTCCACGCATCCCGGTTCTATCATTCTATGGTCACACCATCCACGTTCAAATGTGCGATCCTATTGTGAGACGTGAGTTCTGCATACAATTGGTACAAGAGAACAGGTTGGGGGGGGTATGTGGGGGCGATGGCTTCGTGAGTGCGGGGAGGGGGAGAAGGAGCGAGGCCAGCGCTAACATTCAAAAATGTCATGAGCTTTAACAATCTTTAGTGTGGTAAGGAAACATCAAACTGACAATTGAGATTAACTTCCATAACTTGATCCATTCTTAACGACTGCAGCACCATGTCTGTTTAAATATAGTGAAATATTCAAAAATCACTTTAATTTGCGGCTCTCAGCCTTTACCAGGCTGAGAGCACAGGACCAGTCCAACGCAGCAGCACCAATGCTAAAATCTCCTGTGATTCAGTTTCAGTAATGCAACATAATGTCGGTAACTGCGTGTTTCTCTACAATCTGCAAATGTTTTTTGTAAAAAAAAAAATTGCCGATGGTAGTTAACAAGGCAAACATTGACCAAAACAGACTTTCAGGCGATGCATCGGTGCAGCCAATCTAGATGACCCTCCCATCTCCCACCAAAATAAAACCCCTGGTTTTATTTTTTTATTTGGACTGCAGTGTCCTGGGTCTCTTGCCCCTTTCTTGCCCATCCTGGACTGCAGTGTCCTGGATGCTTAACACAGGGGGGCACATTTATTCTCTCATAAACCTGAGGTGAGGGTCTCCCTCCTCACCGCGGAGCCTGTCGGGAGAAACAAACCAATTGAATCACAAGTAGTGTTTTTAAAGGAACCCCTAATCTTGTTCAGGCGTGCGGTGTATTTAATTGAATCTCTTTCAGGCATGGACATCTCTCCCATCGACCTCATCAACATCGAGCGCTTTTCCAGCCGTGTGGTTTCTCTAGCAGCCTACAGACTGGAGCTGCAAGAGTATCTTCGCTCAAAGATGGGACAAGTCGCCCCCAACCTGGCAGCCCTTATTGGAGAAGTGGTGAGATGGGGCTGGGGTGGTGTGTTTCGGTCAAAATTAAAACTAGTTTTAAACGTGGGGCCGATGATGTTGAACCAAATCTGTCAATCCCCTGAATTAGGTGTTGAGACTCTCGGTTCTGATGGTCCCACTCACTCCTGTGCTCTGATCCTGAATACTTACTGAGGTGCTACTACGGTGACTGTAGTTAGCACTCTTGCGTCTCCGCAAGATGGCCCTGCTTCAATTCCAAACAGGCCCTTTCAGAAGTTGCGCCTCCTCCCTTTGACTTGGATTTCCTCAGTTTCTAGGATCTTCCTTCTGTATTTATTCCTTATGTTGGGACTAGTCTCTGATCTCCTGGTCCATCTCAGGCAATGTCCACACGTAGCGGGATATTTTTTAAACTGAATATTTTCCCCCCTCTGTTTATCAAGTAATTTGTATCCACATTACTGTTTTTGAAGAAACTCATCTAAAACACCTAACTGTACAGCTGCGTTTTCAATCACATTCATAACATTCCAAACATGTGCATCCTCTGACATCCTGTCCTGCGTTGGGGGGGGAAACACAGAAGTGGGTGGAGCTTTGATGCTAATGCCGGCGTTCCGGTACTTCTGTAGTGGTGTTTTAAAGTCATAGTTGAAACTCAGGCTGAAGACGTATATTCACAAGCACTGTCCCCATCCTCAGCCATGATCTAATCCTGGTTTAGCTCCTGTTTTGGTTGTTTTCAAGAGAGTCCCTTGACTACTTTGCTGCTCTCGTATGTGGAGCGAGGATGTTAATCTCCTGCTTTCGCTGCTGAACCCACTGCTGCTGCATGATCCGGTGAACCAGTTCATGGCTGTAAGAGCCATGCTTCCTTTGTTTTGGTGGCATATTGTGATGGGCGAAAAGGCAAAACACCAGAGTCAAGAGTTATCAAAAATCTTCACTTTGCCCGGAGATTTTTTTATATTTATGATGTTGCCATGTGGATGATGGATGCAAAGAAAAATTTGATTAAGCATATACCCGGCTCCGTGTGGAAAGTGCCTCAGTCGCTCTTCTGTACTAAGCTAGTGCTTGTGTTTCCCAGGTTGGTGCTAGACTAATATCTCATGCTGGGAGCCTCACAAATCTTGCCAAATACCCCGCATCCACTGTGCAGATCCTCGGCGCGGAGAAGGCCCTGTTCAGGTACGAGGGATGTGGCTGCTGTGATGGCAGGGGGCGGGGCTTATGGCGTGGGACAGCAGGGGCGTGGCCTGGCAGTCCCTGTGTCAGTGCCCCGTAGTCTGAGCAGCCACTGGGTGTAACACGGGGAGAAAGTGTAAGTAACTAAAGGAATCTAGGACTACCAGGTGGTGGTCACTAACTTACCATCCCAGGAGTTGTAAAATTTGAAGTATTTAGGTTACCAAATCCTAAAATCTTGACAAATCCAGATTAGACTAGTCAGCACTGTGTTAAAGGATCGCTATAGATCATCTAACCTGCTTCACTCCACAGAGCCTTGAAGACCAGAGGAAACACACCCAAATATGGTCTGATCTTCCACTCAACCTTCATTGGTCGAGCTGCTGCCAAAAACAAAGGTCGAATCTCCCGTTACCTGGCCAACAAATGCACCATCGCTTCGCGGATAGACTGCTTCTCTGGTAAAAAAAGATAATATTGGGAGTTTGTTATTGCCAGTTTCAGAAACCTGCAGTGTGAGACATCATTCACACGATGGCAGTGTTCCTCTGCAGTGATGTTTTAATTTTTCGTCAACAGATTCCAGCTCTTGGGCTGATGTTGAAAAGTTTATTCTGAGCAGAGTGTGAAACCAAAAAACTGTGGGAAGACTGCTGTCAGCACAGAGGGTGGGGGAGGACCAGGGTCTAAGGACCTGTGTAGGTTGTAGTGTTCATGTATGTCTCCTCGCTGCAGAACTTCCCACCTCAGTCTTTGGGGATAAGCTGAGGGAGCAGGTGGAGGAGAGACTGTCGTTCTATGAGACCGGAGACCTTCCACGGAAGAACGTGGACGTGATGAAGGAGGCGGTGGTGGAGGTGAGTTTTCATGATGTGTAAGGGCACACTCCCATTGAACTGAAGTCGCAAGGTTCATGTGACTAAAGGAATTTCCCTCCACTGTCCTGGTGAGAACTCTTCAGACCTAAGTTGGAAATGAGTTTAAGTTGAGACTTCATCAGGACAGACGAGGAACACAATGTATAAAGTTTGTAAAATAAATGCGTGTGGATGATGAGCTCTTTTCTCCTGACTTTCTGTGGAGGTGAAATCTGATTTAATGAGCCTGACTACGATGATGAATAGACCACTGCTGAAGCTAATGCTGCTGAGGCTAATGCTAACCAAACCTTATGTCTCCTCCTGCAGGCTGGAGAGGTGACTGCAGAACTCAAACGAAAACTGGACAAAAAGGAAAAGAAACGACTGAAGAAAGAAAAGAAACTTCAGGAAGTAGAGAATGGGACCAATGGAGATGCAGAGGTGAGGAGCATCCTACTGCTTATTGCACGGTTTTACAAAAGGGATGGCATCTTCATGGTCAGTCTCTGTATAACACGTGCCAAAGAAACAGATCCCGAACCATTGTCTGGTCTCCTCTGTGGACCACGACACTGAAGAGGGTCTGACAAACTGCAGCCTTTTAACTGGACACAACTGTGGCTGAAGTGCTGAACTGTGATTTGAAGGAAAGTTGCTTTAACATACCAATTTGTGTTCCAGCATGAAGACGGAGATGCAACGCCAGTGGTGAAGAAGAAAAAGAAACGAGAGTCTGAGGGCCCCACAGACGAGGCTCTCGAGGAAAGCGCCGAAACATCAGGCAAAAAGAAGAGAAAACGAAAGTCTGAGCCACAAGAGACTGCCCCAGCAGAGGCCACTGAAGAGACTGCAACTCCCAAAAAGAAAAAACGGGCAAGCGAAGAGGCCCCTGAGGGTCCTGTGGAGGAGGCTGCAGTGTCTGACAAGAAGAAGAAAAAGAGAAAGGAGGCAGAGTAGACTGTTAAGGCTTTTCATTTAAACTTTGTACATACGTTTTTTAGTTAAACTGCAGAATAAACCTGTGCCTTTATGAATGTGTTGAAGCGACTTCTGTTTAAACTGTAAATATGAAATTAAAATGCTCAACTCATCTTTTTGGATCAGTTCTAAAAGTTGTGTTTAAATAAGGTTTAGGTAATTAAACTTTCTTGCCAAAAAATGTACAGTACAATTTGCATACACTATCTTTTAATTTCTAGTATATAGTTTAGCCCTGGTTCAACATAATTTTGACCCAAGGGTACAACAAGCGTTAAACATGTTCCACAGGACCAGAGTGAGAATACTTCTGAAATGGCAGAGGCAAACTTCTTGAGCCCGAGACTTAGGATGGGTTTATTAGTTCTATTGTGGTCAGCGTTGCATTCCCCAACTTTACTTTGCAGCTCGGTGAGAAACTACACTATAAAATAAACTGAATAAAAAATGTTTTCAAATCCAGATGTAATGGTTTCAATCTGTGATCAAAGTGACATCTGTTTGTGAACGACCCCAAAGTACTCCACATCCTGTGTCAGAACATTGCTCTAAGACCTCGAAATGGGTCTGTAGAAACCCTAGATCCTCTGCTCGTAACTGTCTTATTTGGTTTAAACTAAACCTTAATTTGAATAACTTTCCTAAACGCCGCTTAATGCAATATGTTAGATTTTCATGTCATCAAATGTCCCAATCTGTCAAAAGGCAAAACCTGCTCTTTTCGACTACTTTAACTGATAAGTTAAGCCAAGGTATTTTAATTTCTAAATTAGTTTTACAGCCCCTAAATCTGTTCACTTTGATGTCCCCACCCTCCACGTATTACCAAAGTCTGTGATCCGGGTTGCCAGATCTCACAGCACCAAGCTAATCTCACTCGTAACATTTGTCCGCAGTATTACACATGTCTCGTTATGATTCTCAAATCATTAATGACAAAACAAAACCGGAATTTCTATCACGGCCTTAGTGTAAAACGTGTTGGTTATAGACTTATTGTTGACTGTACTCATTGATTCAGATATTGTGGTCCCAGCTGGATTTGTCTGCATATCTGGCAACCTGTGTTTAGTGTGGGAGAGGTTGCAGTACCGATTTTGGCCAGATTCTTACTGCGCCTTTAAAACATTACTTCTAGTTACAAACCCCAAAAGTGCAATACTTTGTTCATAATAATAAGATAATAGAGTAGCTCCCCCTCCCGCACAAAGCTGTCTGCCCCCCTTGAACCCTCAAAGCCCTCCTGATTTCCATGCAGCCTGTGGAGCCCAAACTCCAACCTGACACCCAGTTTACATGGAGACGTAGCCAAGCCATTTGCAAAAAATGCCCCTTTTCCGGATTGAAAGTGCAAAGCGTCTTAAAGGAATAGTTCACCGTTTTTACATACTGACATATGTTCTTACCTTACCTTAGGCCCTGTTTATACTGAGACGCTGCGCAGACGTTTCCAGGCTATTAACAGAAACGACCTGGCTCCTAATGCAAATTTCTCAGCGTTCTCATGAGGTTGAAAAACGATGTAGTTCTAGCGCCCGGCCAGTAGTGGGCAGAGAAACTTTACAACACTCACACGACCCCCAGCCCCGTGCCCAGCCCCCCTCTCGGCAGTGTACTCACTTCCTGTGCCAGACCCTCAGAACGCACCAACATCATTCTGCATTTTAACAGCAGCTGTGAACATGGAAACTAAACCTAGAGCTTCGCGTGGTCTCGTTTGGACGAACGAAGGTGTAGAATTATCCTCTGTCCCGCGCTGGAATCCCACGAAGCTAGTTAGTTTACCGGCCGCCATTATTGTTTATTTTTGTTCCCCGCTACTGCGCATGTCCAAATTTACGTGCGGGGAGCAGCGTGGAGGCGGGGGTCAGAGCAGAGGGGGATTTCACACCTTTTCCCCTCTTGCTGGTGTGAAAGAGAGTCCCCGCTGTGCAGCGTTTCTGAGTTGTCCCACTCTGCAGGCTGGATCTGAACACTTACGTTTTCACCCCCCTGAAACACAGTCTTCGTATGAACGGTTGGTAGCAACCGACATCCAACTATACCGTTTTACTGCCACATTGTCTCCGTGTAAACTCAGCCTTAGACTAGTTAATACGTACCTGTCTGGTCTTAGTCCATGCGCTCTGTCATGCAAACGGAGCAAAAACGGGAGCACAAACGCAGCCTCCTCTGTGTAGGACCAAAAGGTAGCTCCCGCTAGAAGCTACCAAACTCTTCCAAGTGTTCCCTATTAAATGTATATAGTTACGTGACGTGTTACACTGCAAAGTATAGTAACACAGAAATGTAACAGTCGATTTTCTCAGCGGATAAAACGGGTACTATATTGTGAGGCGTAGTAATCTGAGGAGCGCTAGGTCCGCGCACTAACTTCTCTCCGTACTACAAGTCACGCTGCTTCTATTGACGGAAGTGAGCGAGAGAGAAGTCTCCGGAGAGAAGTTAGTGCGCGGACGTGTGTTACTATACTTTGCAGTGTAACACGTCACGTAACTATATACATTTAATAGGGAACGCTAGCTTCTAGCGGGAGCTACCTTTTGGTCCTACACAGTATACAGAGGAGGCTGCGTTTGTGCTCCCGTTTTTGCTCCGTTTGTAAAAACGGTGAACTATTCCTTTAACGGTACAAGGTGGTTGAAAATTAATAGTTACCTAATGTAACTTAAGTTCTACAAATAGGTGCGTAGTCCCTTAGCGGACTTCGCTAGTGGGATATCACGTGACCCCCAGGTCACACGCCAGAGAGATCAAAATAATTTGCTCCAATCACTAGCGACCCTCCTCTATAAAGGCCCCTGCACAAGGCCGCACCCCCTCTTGAACTCTTCCAAGCCGGGCTGGCCTGATGGGCTCGTAGCTAAGGGACTACGCACCTATTCGTAGAACTTAAGTTACATTAGGTAACTATTAATTCTACGTCATGGTGCTTCGTCCCTTAGCGGACTTCGCTAGTGGGACACAACGCGTAGGCCGTAGGAACATGTACTCCCAGCAGGCCAGCGAAGAGTGATTGGAGCCCCGTCCGAGCAACCCTCTCACAGTGAGAAGACTCAGGACAGAAACCAAATCCAAGCGTGTTACGGAGTCGCTCCTCCCAAGGACACCCCCAAGTAACACCGACCGAAAGTCACCCGTAGTCCCAGGACGCCTCTCCCAAGAGCTCCTGAACTAGGGCGGAAGAGCCAACCGTAATCTCTTAGACGTAGAACTCACGATTCCAATCAGTCCGCTGCACCAAGCACGGAATGGGCCACCGACCGGTCCGACACATCCAAAAGGTAAGACCGGACGAAGGTAGAGGACGAAGCCCAAGAAGCCGCACGGCAAACGTCCTCCACCGAAGCCCCCCTGAGGAGGGCCGTAGAGGCCGCCACTCCACGCGTGGAGTGCGCCCTAAAACCCACCGGGGGCGTCAGGCCCTGAGCCTGATACGCCAACCGCACAGCCGAGGCGACCCAGTGTGCCAGACGTTGAGACGACAGCGGGGCGCCTCTGTTCTTGGGGCCCAGACACACAAACAGCTGATCCACCAGTCTGAAGGAAGATGTTAAGGTCAGGTAACGCCTAAGCATTCTGACAGGGCACAGAAGGTGCCGTCGCTCCTCCTCGGAGGAGGAGTGCGGCGGCGGATGGAAAGCCCTAATCCTGATCACTCTCGACCTGAAGGCCGAAGTAATGACCTTAGGGAGAAAGGCCAGATTGGGCCACAACTCTACCAGTCCGTCCTCCTCTCCAAAGGACAGGCAAGACGCATGTATGGAGAGCGCACACAAATCGCCCGCCCTCTTAGCAGACGCCAACGCCAGCAAGCGGGCAGTCTTAAAAGCAACACACTCGGGACTCGCCTCCGACACTGGTTCAAAAGGCGGGCCCGACAGACCCCTAAGGACCACTCTGAGGTCCCACACTGGGGGCGTTCTGTGAAGCGGGGGCCTCTTCCTGCGGGCCCCCCGCAAAAAAACTTTTCACTAAAGGCTGAGAACGGGCCGTGAACCCATCGAAGCCACCGTGACCCAAGGTGATGGCTGCCGCGAACACCGCCAGGGTACCGACAGCCCTCCCCTTTTTCAAAGAGTTCCTGTAGAAAGCCCAGGACTCCCTCCAAGGGGCAGCGCCTGGGATCCCAAGAGCGAGCACTGCACCAGACGCTGAAGAGCCTCCATCTGGTGTTGGAAGGGAAACCACCGGGCATGCGGACTGTCCGGAGCCACCAAGATCACCGATCTCCCCTCCTGCTCGATCCTCCGCAGCAGGACCGGCAGGAGACGAACTGGTGGGAACGCATACAGCAGGCTCCCTGGCCACGGGTAGTGAGCCATGGCGTCCACCCCTATGGACGGCTCGTCCGCGGCCCTTAAGGCGAACCAGGACGGGCACTGTGTGTTCTCTGCACTGGCGAAAAGGTCGACCACTGGACGGCCGAACCTCCGCCAGATCTCTGTAGTTATCCGCGGGGCCAGGCCCCACTCGTCCTGGAGTGGGCTCCCCCTGGACATTCTGTCGGCCCCCACGTTCCGGGCACCCGGGACGTGGCGTGCTCTTAGGGACAGGAGGTGAAGCTCTGCCCACAGCAGAATCACCGTCGCCATGCGATGGAGACCGGAGGATCTGGTGCCTCCCTGTATGTTCAGATAAGACACCACTGTGGTGTTGTCTGAGCGAACCATCACATTCCTCCCCTGCAGCTGTGGGGCAAAGTGCAGCAGCACCCTGTGCACTGCCTCCATTTCCAGAAGGTTGATGTGGCGGGCTGAGTCCGACCAGCAGGCTCCTATGGAGCTCTGACCGAGGACCCCGCCCCACCCTTCGAGTGACGCGTCCGTGAACACCTCCACGTGAGACACAGCGCTGACCAGAGACACTCCGGTCCGCAACAGACCCGGAGTGAGCCAAAACCTGATGTCCGATGCTGCGATTTGGGGAACCCAGATCAGCCTCCCCCCGTCCCGTGAGGGGTGAAGCTTGAGACGTGA